GCCCCCGGCCCCCCCGCCCGGGGCGGGGGGGGAGCCATAACCTCGGCCCAGCGCGCAGCGCCGGCAGGCTGGGGGAACTCGGCGACCAGGTCCATTTCCGCCATGAGCCCCGGAGCGCCCCGTGCGCCTGCGCACGCGCCGCGGCCGCCGGCGCCACGCCCCCGCCCGGTACCTGCTCGGCGCGCAGCCTCTACTCGGTTCACTGCTGCTACGTGGGACCGTAGGTCCCCGTGTCGCCAAGTCTAGAAATGCGCGGTTCTTCCCCAGAGTCCAGCGGAAGTGACTGTGCCCTGAGGGGTATTTTTGACCGGGTACACATACCTTCATGTTAGTTTCCTAGCCTCGGTGAAGAATTGGCTTTGCTTGACCCTTAGCGGTCACCGTACAGACCTCCTTGAACTTGGGTTCTCTCCGCGTTAAGGCCTTCGGACATTTAAATTTGGGGATTTGTGGAATTTGTACTTTTTTCTTTTCACCTCAAAATAGACATCCGATATTAGTCGAGCTACGCCCTCTGCGTTGCCCCTGAAATATTGCCCACCGGCTGCCCTGCGGTCGTCACGTGACTCGGGGCTACAGCGTGTCCTACCTGGCAACCGTCGTAGAGACCGACCTCGCTGGCTGCAACATGAACGTGATCTACCCGCTGGCGGTGCCAAAGGGGCGCCGGCTCTGCTGTGAGGTGTGCGAAGCCCCGGCCGAGCGGGTGTGCGCGGCCTGCACAGTCACTTATTACTGGTAGGCCCTGGAATGTGGCACCTGGGCGCCTCAACTTTCTGCCTCTTCCCAGTAAGCCTTGACGGTAGCTCTGCCAGGGACCCCCGGGGCAGCTTCAAAACCGGCCCCTAAGCCCCCTCGGGGCTTTGTCTGCCTTCTGTCCCACAACCAAAGGGTATTCATCAGGGTCTTTTCAGAGTGATAAATGTCAGGAGACAGCTAACGGACATGGAGGGCGATCAGGCAGCCAGCTTCTGTGGGTACGCTGTTGATCTAAAGATAACGTCAGAGCATCTCTCCTGAACGTGACTGCGGGAAGTGTCACGAGTGGGCTCTGAGTGAGGGAAATCAGGTGTGTTTGAGGAAGAGAATTAAAGCTAGCTTGTGGCACACAGCTAAGAAGGCAAGGGTGTAGAGAGGGTAGAACAAAATGAGGTCAGTTTTGAGGTATTCAGCATAGCATCCCCTGAGTTTTGCTCAGGTTAGGCCCTATTTGGGATCTAGCATGAAACAGTTAGGTTGCTGATATCCAGAACCCTAATCCAGAGCAGACAGACTTGTTTAAAAAGAAAAAAAAAAAAAGGTCATAATACATCCCTCCCAACAAATGCTGTCTCTCAGGGCGTGCTAAGCTCTGAGACCTCCTAGGGTGAGAGCATGATGATAGGGCAGTGTCTAGAAAGTTTTCTCTCAAGAAGAAACATTTGAGCTGAGTTAAAGAGAACTTGGGACTAGCAGTTGGCGTAATAGCTATGCTGCTAGACTCCCATGTAGTTGACCGTGAGTTTAAGCCATCAGGTCTGGGACTCAAACCACCGTCCCACGGGCAACTACAGTGGGAACTTGCTGTAGGAAGGAACATTGAAGAGAGATAAGGCATTACCTCGAGGACTGCTAGGACAAATGAAGAACAGAGTTTGCCAGGTTTTTCTTCTACTTGCTTTAAATTCTCTTTAAGATTTTACTTCTTTTCTCTCTCATCTTTCTCCATACTTCCGTGCTTTTATCTTGGAGACTCCAAGATAAAATATTATTTATTTTTCAATAAAACAAAACTAAGGTAATTGTTCTACAGGTTTTGAGCTGCATGTAAAGCATCTCATACTAGGCCTGGGAACAAGCTGACACACTAAGTTTTCTTTTTTTAATCATCGCAAACTTTTTTTTTTTTTGGAGAGGTGTTTGCTAGAGGGTGCGTGCGCTCGCCAGACAGACAGAGAGAGACAGAGAGACAGAAAGCAAGAAATCACCCCCCAGGGGGGATGGCCACGCCGCAATCCCCTCTCCTCCATTCTCCTCTCGGGATCTTGGGCGCACACACCACAAGCGCCTGGCGTGAGTTTTAAGCCATGGGGTCCAGGATGCGAACTGCGGTCGACTACATGGGAGTCCAGCGACATAGCCATTATGCTAACTGCTGGTCCCAATCATCACAAATTTAAGGAGCAAAAAGAACAATCCATTCGAGTTCATGAAAGTTCTTTTCTGTAAAATAATTTTTTACTTAATTATAAAGGCAATTCATGTTCACTGCAGAAAGCAAAAAAATAATCAATAATCCCACAATCCAGAGATTAAGAACCTGACATTTTGGTGAATTTCCTTTTATTCTTTTTCTCTAAATATGTTTATTTGATATACTATGTGTAATCTTGTGCATGTTGTATTGTGAATATGTTCTCAGAGAATGTAACTTTTTTGTTGTTGTTGTAATTTTGCTATAGGGCACATGTGCTTGCCAGAGAAAGGAAGAGAAAAAGAGAAAGTGAGAATGCATCCCCCATGGGGATGACATGGCCACACCACAGTCCCTCCTCTGTTCTCCTCTCAGGATTTTGGACATGCACGCACATATGCCCAATGTATTTTTCAAGTTGTTGGGTCTGGGTCTCAAACCGAGTAGTTGACTTTATGGAATCCAGCTGCCTTAACTACCATGCCACCAGCTGGTCCTAGAATAGAACTTTTTTTTTTTTTTTTTTTTTTTTTTTTTTTTGAGATGTCCTCCATTCTCCTCTCAGTATCTTGGGCTCGCACACACACGTGTCCAGTGTGAGTTTAAGCCATCAGGTCTGGGACTCAAACCACGGTCCCACGGTCAACTACATGGAAGTCTAGCAGCATAGCTATTACGCCAACTGCTGGTCCCTAGAATGGAACATTTTTAAAAAGGGGAATTTCAGGACCAGCAGGTGGCTTAGTGGTTAAGACTCGGAACCCCACGTGGTTTGCCATGGTTCAAGTCCCAGACCCAGCAGTTTGAAACTCAACACCAGACGTGCATGTGTGTGTGTGTGTGTGTGTGTGTGTGCATGCCCAAAATCTTGATAGGAGAATGGAGAAGGGATTGTTGCACGGCCATCACCCCTGGAGGATGATTTCTCACTTTGTGTCTCTCTGGCTCTCCAACGAGTGCAAAAGCCCTACAGCAAAAATCTCTACAAAAATTAGAAATAGGAACCAGTAGATGGGGTAATGGTAATGTTGCTGGACTCCCACATGGCTGACTGCAGTTCAAGTCCCAGATCTGGAGGTTTGAAACTCACACCAGGTGCATGTATGTGTGTGCACAAAAATCCTAAGAGGAGAATGGAGTAGAGGGAATTGTGGTATAGCTCCATGGGGGCTGATTTCTCGCTTTCTGTCTCTCTGTTTCTGTCTCTCTCTCTCTCTCTGGTGAGGGCATGAGCCCTATAGGAAAAAAGAATCTCTAAAAAATATTTAAAATAAAAATTAGTAATTTAATGAAAGTACACACTGAAACATTAGCAATGAGTAAAAGAGGCTTCAGTATTATAGGTTAGCAAATCATATCATATAGATATATAATTTGCAATAGTTTTTCCTTTTATTTAACATATAGAATACAAATTTAAATGTATAATAAATACCTTTTTTAACCACATTTAAATTCAGTTTGAAAACGCATGATAATGGTTGGCCTGGCCACAGCAGTACAAGTGAGAGGGCAGTGCCGCTGCATGGTGGCTGCGGTTGCATGGGAGGTCCAGGTTTGGTTCCTGGCCCAACCTAAAATAGGGGGCTCAATGACATGTGCCTGGGGTCTTAGCTAATTGGGAGGCTGAGCAAGAGGATTGTGAAGTGGTCAAAAATACTTCTCTCTCCCTCTTCCTCTCACTCTTTCACGGTCATTAAAATGTAAAGCAAAATCCTCCATCTACAAAAAGACCTAAATATAAGAGCTTACATTATAAAACTTTCTAAAGGAAACACAGTTGTAAATTTGCATGATCTTGTACTAGCTAATAGTTTATGAGATATGACATCAAAAGCCAAGGAAACCAAGAAAAAATAGATTGGTTGGATGCCATCAAAATTTAAAACTAATCTGCATCAGAAAACACTATAAAGAAAGGGAAAAGACAACCCACAGAATGAGACAATATTTGCAAATCATATATCTGATAAGAATCTAGTATCCTAAATAGTTAAAGAACCCTTAAGGCTAAACTAAACAAGTCAAAAGACCCAGTTTTAAAAAATGAGCAACACGGGACCAGCAGGTGGCATGGTGGTTAAGGTGCTAGACACTCCCACATGGTTGACCATGGTTTGAGTCCTGGTCAACAGGGACACGGCTTGCTTTATCTCTCTCTCTCTCTCGTCAAATTGAAATAAAATAAATGAATAAATAAAATTTTTAAAAATGGGCAACATATTTGAATAAATACCCCACCAAAGAAGATGTACATATTTTTAAAAAGGCTAATTAGCACACAGAAAGATGCTTAACATCATTAGGGAAATGTAGCTCAAACCCACTGTGAGATACACTTCACATCCACTAGGATGACTATAATAAAAAAGACAGGAAAAAAAGTGATGAGGGTGTAGAGAAATTAAAACGCTCATACATTGCTGGTGGGAATGTAAAATGGTACAGTTACTACAAAAAACAGTTTGGCAGTCCCCCAGAAAGTTAAATAGAGTTTCATATGACCCAGCATTTCCATTTTTAGGTATATACCCAACAGACTGAAAACATATTCATACAAAAATTGTACATAAATGTTCATAGCAGCAGTCTCCATAATGGCAAAAATGTAGAAACAGCCCAGATGTTCACCAACTGATGAATGGATAAATAAATTGTGGCATATCTATATAGTAGAATATTAGTCATAAAAAGGAATAAAATATTCATACATGCTGCCACATGGACGAACCTTGAAAACAACATTCTAAATGAAAGACCAGATGTTGCCTATTTCCATTTATGTACTATGTTCAGAATAGCCAAATTCTGAGACAGAAGTAAATTAGTGGTTTCTGGGCATTACTGTGAGGAGAGAAGAATGGGAATGCTTGTTTACAGGTACAGAGTCTCTTTTTTGAGTGACTAATATTCTACTCTATGGATATACCACAATTTGTTTATCTCTTCATCAGTTGGGGGGACATTTTGGCATGGAATTAGATATGCTAATTCTTACACAACCTTATGAACAAATACTAAATTATATACTCTAAAATGGTGCATTTTAGAGTGTGAATTTTATTATAGTTAAAATATTTTTAAAAACATGACAGGAAGAAGGAGCAGTTGAGTAATAATTTTGGAATTATTCATACAGGGAATTATTATGATTATTTTTTGGGGAGAGGTTTTAACTACAGGGCGTGTGCGCTCACCAGAAAGACAGAGACAGAGAGACAGAAAGTGAGAAATCACCCCCCAGGGGGGATGGCCATGCCGCAATCCCTTCCCCTCCATCCTCCTCCCGGGATCCTGGGCATACATTCACATGCATCTGGTATGAGTTTAAGCCACTGGGTCCTAGACTAGAACTGTGGTTGACTACATGGAAGTCCAGTGACATAGCCATTATGCTAACTGCTGGTCCCATACAGGGACTTATTTTAAGAGGTGAGAATAGACATCTTGTAAGAGTGCTGTCAGAATTTTTCTGCAATGATGCAAATGTTTATACCTGTGCTGTCCAATTGAGTATTTAAAATGCAAAATATGCATGGGTAAGTCAGAAAAGCTGTAAACCAAACTGTCACATGGCTTCTTTCTAGAGAGCTAAAAACCACTTGTTTTGGTTTACATCTTCAGAGTAATGTCTTAATCTCTCCACAGTTGTGCTTCCTTACACTTAAAATGGAAATAACAAATTTTGTTTTGTTTCCAAGGAGTTAAATAGTTACACATAATACTGCCTCCTTCACCACTGGGGGTGGGGGGCATTCATAGTACATTCTATATGAATGCCATCCACACCCCCGTACCCTGCCCCCAGAATACAGAAGACAAATGCTGTTGGTACTCTGAGGAGCCTTGCAGCATGGTGGCCAGTCATAGGAAAAGTGTTGGTAAAGTGTCTCCTAGAGTCTCATCAACTGTTAATTCCTTTTCCTTTACCAAGAATACAACCCTCAAATGCATCAGCTTCAGTGTTCAGACATATCAAAAAGACCTTAGAACAATAGAAAGTTGTCTTTGTTGTTATTAATTAAGCAGAAAAGCCACAGCATCCCTGTGAGACTTTGGAATGTGAACACATGCCTTTAGAAACATCCTCCCACCACCTCTCCCCAACCTCAGCACAGTGCTTACTCCGTCAAATAACCACACGAAAGCAGAGACTTGTGTCTCAGAAATGGCCTTTGGCCCTTGTCTGGTCTGTGTTGGGCCTACTTTTCCAGTGATGAGGCAGAGGGCCCATTGACTCTTAGGTCAGGACAATGATAAAGATAACCCAGTTCATGTCTTTATTGTCAGTGGTGCGGTACATCAAAAAGCCGACTGGGGCAGCATCCATGAGAAGATATGTCAGCTCCTGATTCCACTGCGCACTTCCATGCCCTTCTACAACTCAGAGGAGGAACGGCAGCATGGCCTGCAGCAGCAGCAGCAGCGGCAGGTAGGTCCTAGGATGGTTACAGGGTTAACTCACAAGTGTGGTTTCACTACCCACTAAGGTTGAACTATGTCAGGGACTAGCAGATAGCGTCGCTGGACTCCCATCTAGTTGAGTCCCAGAGGTCCTAGTCCCAGACCCAGTAGCTTAAACTCACACTGGGCACGTGTGTGTGTGTGCTCAAGATCCCGAGAGGAGAATGGAGGAGAAGGGATTGTGGCATGGCCATCCCTCCTGGGGGGTTATTTCTCACTTTCTATCTCTCTATGTCTCTCTGGCGAGCCCATGTGCCCTATAGCAAAAACCTTTCCAAAAAAAGAAAAGTTTGAACCATGCTGAGATCACCACATTGTGACCTTGTTGAGGGCAGAGACTTCATATCTTTATGTCCTCGGTAGCATTCATGAGGTAGTTTTCCATGTCTCTACTGAACAATCACTGTATTTGTTTGCTAGGACTGTCATAACCAAATGCCACAGACTGAGTGGGTCTCACAACAGAAATTTATTATCTCACAGGCTGGAGGCTACATGTCCAAGACCAAGGTGCCGACAGGCTTGAACTCATCTGAGTCCTTTGGCTTGCAGATAGCTGCCTGCTTTTTATTTCCTTTCAGTTTTTGCTATAGGCTACGTGCACTCGCCATAGACAGAAAGAGAGAGAGAGAGGAAAAGTGAGAGCGCATCCCCAAGGGTGATGGTCACACCGCAGTCCCTTCTCCATTCTCCTCTCGAGATTTTGGGCACACATGTATATGAGCCTGGTGTAATTTCCAGCCACTGGGTCCAGGACTCAAACTGTGCAGCCATCCTTGTGGGATCCAGTTGCCTTAACCTCCATGCCATCTGCTGACCTGATGGCTGCCTTCTTGCTGTGTCCATGCATCCCTGTGTGCATGCATCCCTGGTGTGTCTCTGTGTCCAACATCTTGTGAAAATACCAGTCAGATTAGTTGGGTTCCACCTTAATGTCCTCATTTTAACTGAACCACCTCTTTAAAGGCCGTATTTCTGAAAGTAGTCACATTCTGAGGGTCTAGAGGTTAGGGTTTAAACACAAGGATTTTGATGAGATTTGATTCCACTCATCACACCAACATATATCAAGTAATATGATAAGTGCTTGACTACAGAGTGGGAAGTTAGCCAGTGATCTGAATATATTTGTGAGAAAGTAAAGAAGATTAGTAGAACTAGCCTCTATTATTATAACATTGGTGGCATCTCAATTACTACACAAAAAAATTAACCCTTTATAAGCATACATTTCTAAACACCAGATTCATCAGTATTGGTGTTGATACTTTGATAGTGGCCTTAGAACAATCCAGAATTAAAGATATTTCTGATAGTAGCTAGGTATGATAGTTCCAGAAAGAAGAATGAGATACTTCTCTCAAAATTCAGTCAAGTAGGCAGTTTTAGAATATCCTAAGATGTGATAGTTTTGTTGAAGTTTTATTAGAAATATAAAAATAATACTCATTCATCTAGTAACTTATAATGAGCACTCATATATGCCAAGCACTGAACTAAGATGAAAAAACACATGTTCCTGGACCTTGAGGAGCTCAGAGTCAAGTCTGCCTTTTTTTTCCTACCTGTTTTTAATCTCACGTTCACGTTACTGCAGGCAGGCTCGCAGTGTGCCTTTAGCCAGTTCATTAGGTGTTAGGCTTATTTCCAGGTGTACCTGTATCCACCTTTGCCTTTTACCTTCAGACAGTCTCTGATGGTCTAACTTTCTCATCCACAGAAGCATTTGATTGAATTCTGCTACACCGTAGCCCAGAAATATCTCTTTGAAGGAAAACATGAAGATGCCGTCCCAGCAGCTTTGCATTCCCTTCGCTTCCGCATGAACGTGTACGGCCTGAGTTCTGTAGAGCTGGTGCCTGCCTACCTGTTGTTGGCCGAGGCCAGCCTTGGTGAGTGAACTTGACTTAAGATGCGCTGGAGCCCTTGAGAAGTCCTCTGCTGGGTCACGCAATGACCAGAGAGTACTGCCTTAACCATGGTACCTTTTGTGGAAGAGCAGGGCTTCTGTAAAGTTTGGCACAATATAAGGAAGGAGATGTCACAGACTTTTGGCCACACCTGGAAGAAATCCACTCAAGATGGTCGACCAAAAGAAGGAAATGTGGGGCTGGCAGGTGGCATGGTGGTTAAGGTGCTAGACTCCCACATGGCTGACTGTGGTTCGAGTCCTGGACCCGGTAGCTTGCTTTCTCTCTCTCTCTCTCTGGTCAAATTAAAATAAATAAATAATAAAAATAAAATAAATAGAGTTAAAATAATTCTTTAAAAAAAAAAAAAGAAGGAAATGTATTAGGATGCTGCAGTGTCCTTAGGGAGTTGAAGCTTCATGACTGGACTTGGGAATGCTATAAGAAACCAAGACCCATGCTCTCAGTTTCCTTTTCTTGAGGCTGTTGCTACTTCTCTCTGGTATCTCCTTCATTTATGCTCTCTGTAGACCAGATTTTTCCACCCTATGGTGCAGAAGACAGCCACCCCCAAATGTCAGGTATAGTTCTTTGATTTCCATGTCCTCTAGGTTCACAGTGGATATTAGGAACTAGTTAGTGGGGCCGGGAGGTGGCATGGTGGCTAAAGGCGCTGGACTCCCACATGACCGACCATAGTTCAAGTCCCAGACCTGGTGACTTGCTTTCTCACTTTCTCTCTCTCTCTTTCACTCTGTCCCTCTCTGGTCAAATTAAAATAAATAAATAAAGGTAAATAAAATGATTCTTTTTTTAAAAAAAGTAATTAGCATCTGATTTCCAACCTGATTTTCCAATTACAAATTCATATTGGGTTGTCAGAAAAGTTATGATACATTTTTTAATAGAAAAACAGAAAATATACATCATGACTTTTCTGACAACCTAATGGGAGACAAAACTTTGTTGACTCAACTGGAGTGTAGTAGCTACATTAGTCCCTGGGTTAGGGCCACATAGTTCAGAGATGCACCGCTATAAATGGGTAAAGCAGTTCTGAGCTTGGAGAACACAGACAGAGCAGACAGCTGACACAGTGGGTGCTGCAAGAGGAGAATTAGCCTATTCTGGACATTTCATATAAAGAGAATCAAACAATATGTTGCCTTTGGTGTTTGGATTCATTTACTTAGTTTAATATTTTCAAGTTTTATTCATGTATCACTTTTTTTAATAACTGAATAATAATTCACTCATGGAAATGGATAAACCACATTTTATTTATTTACTCTTCAGTTGATGACATGTTGTTTCTAATTTTTAGCTTTTATGAATAGGTTGCCATGAACATTGTTATACAAGTTTTTGTATGTCGATAGATAAATGAATTAGTGGGTGACAACTCGTATTTTGTCATGTGTTCTTTGGCAAGAATATGAATTATATACTCCTTTTTTGCTTTTGAGCAGGTCTGGGCCAGACTGTTCAGGCTGAAGAATATCTATCCCAAGCCCAGTGGACGGTCCTCAAATCAACTCACTGTAGCAACGCCACCTACTCTTTACTGCATCGGAACCTGGGACTCCTCTATATGGCTAAGAAAAACTATGAGGAAGCCCGTTATCATCTGGCCAATGATGTAAGCAAGCTAAATTATAATAACTGGGTGTTTCTAGAACAGCTTTGTTTATTTTTTTAATTGAGCATTTCTTTACACTTTTCTGTTTCTAAGTGACTATTGGGTAGAGTATTAGCAAGAACACAGTTCTAACAGCTTGAGTTCAAGACTTTCTACTTCCTGGCTATGCAACCTTGGCCAGACACATTTGTCCCCCAAGCTTCACTTGCCCTAAGGATAACAAAGGAGAACAGAACAGCATATTGGATGAAAGAAGGGATTTGCTACTAGTCTCAATAGGCCAATAGGGACCAGCAGATGGCATTGGTTACATTGCTGGACTCCCACATAGTTGACCGAGGTTCAAGTCCTGGACCTGGTGCATGTGTGTGTGTGCCCAAAATCCCAAGAGAAGAATGGAGGAGAAGGGATTATACATGGCCACCCCCTGAGGGGGTAATTTCTTGCTTTCTGTCTCTCTGTCTCTCTCTGTCTCTCTGGCAAGCACATGCACTCTATGGCAAGAATCTCTATTTTATTTTTTAAATTCTTTTTTTAAAAGAGGTTTTTCCTATAGGGCATGTATGTTTGCCAGAGAGACAGAAAATGAGAAATCACCCCTCAGGGATGATGGCCACACCACAATCCCTTCTCCATTTTCCTCTCAGGATCTTAGGCGTCCACACACATGTGCCGGCATGAGTTTAAGCTGCCTGGTCCAGGACTCGAACCGCAGTCGACTACATGGGAGCCCAGAGACGTAACCATTACGCCATCTGCTGGTCCCAAAATCTCTCTTTAAAAAAAAAAAAGGACAATATATGTATAGTACTTTGGCTATTATTTCTTAGAATAACATTAATAACTCTACTTCATAGTATGGTTATTAAATTTAAGTGAGCTAGATGTATAACAACTTATTCTATAAACTATAAAACTATAAATGTTAGGTAGAATGATGTGGGTGATAACTTGGCTATTCTTCCCAAATTTATGAGGTTTTTATTAGGATTTCAGTCCTGAAAATTCTACCAGTAAGAGGAGTTGCTGAGCCTAAAGTCTGGTTTATGTTAGGGTCAGAGTGTGGTCTTTGCACAGGTCAGTTCTTTTTGTACCCCTCCCCCCCCACTAGCCTCTCCACCGGCCAGTCCTGCTCTGGTTGCCTGCCACCAGACAGGGTCTACAAATTCATTCTTACGCTAGTTATCTCCATGCCCCCCTACCCCAGATCCATTCTGTGCCCTACTCTGTGTCCTGGGAGGCTGAGCTCTACAGACCTGGGCTCCATTGCTCTCTGGCTTTAGGGAGTGGGAGGCATACAGGGAGGGGAGGTGGGAGGAGAGAGAGGTTGGATATTTATTCTCTCTACTGCTTTTCTGCCCCTCCTCAGCTCTAGCAGGGTAAGTGTTCCTCTGTGGCCGCAGCTCCTGCCAGGTGGTCTTCCTCTATGACACTAGTTCTTGCTGGGCCCCGGTCACCCTGTTTTCTCCTCTTGCTTTTTCAGGTGCAGAGATGGTAACAGTTTCTTGCTGTTGAAGTGCCTACTACTTCACTAGCTCTTGATGGTTCCTTAACCCTTTCATGTCTCAAATAACTTTTCCATTAAGCCATCTTCAGGTAATCCTTTTGAGGATGCCATCTGTAACCACCTGGGCCTCTGACTAATACAATTCTTCATTTAGGTTTCCTCTTTTTTTTTTTAAATTATTTTATTTAACTTTAGTTATTTATTTACTTCTTTTAATGTGATGGGGGGAGGGGAGAAGAAAGAAAGTGAGAAAGCAAGCCACCAGGTCCAGGACTTGAACCACGGTTGGCCATATGGGAGCTCAGCACCCTTAACCATCATGCCACCTGCCAGCCCCTAGTTTTCCTCTCTTTACTCTGCATCCTCCAGCAAGTTAAGCAGAGGAACAGTCTGTCTTGAACTGGGCCATGTACCCAGCTAAATTCTAATAATTAAGAAAACAGTTTATTGATACATATCATAAAATTCACCGATTATAAGAGAACAATTCAATGACTTTTAGTAAATTTACAGAGTTGTGCAAACATCGACACGGTCAACTTTTAGAACACCTCCACCACCCTAAGAGATCCCTCGTCTCCATTTTCTGCTCTGAGGCAGGTCTAGGCTAGATCATTTGGGCTGAAGAATATTTTTCCCAAGCCTGGATTGTATCCCTATTGCCACTCCAGCCCCAGGCAACCGCTTTCTGTCTCTAAGGATGTGCCTTTTCTGGATGTTTCCTGTAAACAATCTTATGTGGTCTTTTGTCTCTGACTTCTTTGACTGAGCATAATTAGTTTGAGATTCAGCTACTGACACAGAGAACAACATGGGGGAATCTCATAGATCATTCCTTTTATTGCTAAGTAGCAGTCTGTGCAAGTTCTTTATCCGTTCATCAGCTGCTGGACATTTCATTTGTTTCCACTTTCGGGCTATTATGACTAATGTTGCTTTGAACATCTGTGTACAAGTCTTTGTGTGAACACACGTTTCATCTCTCTTAGGTAGATACCTGGAGGAGAAATCGCTAGACCATATGCTAACTATGTTTAACTTTGTGAGGAGCTGTCCAGCTGTTTCCACTGCACCATTTTATATCCCCACCAACAGTGTACAAGGATTTCATTTGTTCCACATCCTTGTCAACACTTGTTTTTTTCTGGACTTTGTTTTTGTTTTTCCTCTTTTTATTATAACCGTCCTAGTAGGTGTAAAGTGATATCTTATTGTGGTTTTATTTTGCCTTTTTGTAATCATTAACAATATTAAGCATCTTATCATGTGCTTATTAGCCATTCATATATCTATACAGATCCTTGGTCTTTTTTTTTTTTTTTTTTTGAGAGAGATTTTTTTTCTATAGGGCGTGTGTGCTTGCCAGAAAGACAGAGAGACAGAGAGTGAGAAATCACCCCCCCCGGGGGGGGGGGCGGGCCACCGT